TAAGCTGAAAAGTCCTAGTCTCTTTAGCCTCTCTTCATATGGGACCTGTTCCCAACCCCTCATCATTTTAGTTGCCCTCCCCTCTCCCAGCCTCTCTCTTCCCCTCTCCCACCTCCTTTTCCCAGTCTCCCCCAGTTTTGTTCAATAAAGACAGATTCCATTTTGGAAGACACGTTATCTTTATTTTGTACATCAAGAAGAGGGGCTAGGGAAGGGTAAGTGGAAGGAGGTGAGGGAGGAATGGGGCACGAGCCCCCAATGGGGAGGACCGGGCTGGCTCTGCGGGCTTCTGGGTGTGGAAGCTCTCCTGCAGCCCCCCAATTGCCCCCTCTCCCCAGATGGCAGCCTGCGGCAAGTGCAGCCGGGCTGATGGCCGAGTGCTGTGATGTGCCCAGTGTGGGCACTCAGGGCACTCCAAGCCAGGACTGCTTTGCAAGCGGGGCACCCCTGAGAACTGTCTGTCAGGGGTGGGGTTCGAGACCCTTTAAGCACAGCCCTCGGCTAGCCTGAGACAGCACCTCCACACTCTAAGTCCTCCTCTGATGCCCTGCCGGCACTGCTTCCGGCCATCCTTAACCCCGCTTCAGGGTCCACTTAATGTGGACATGCTAGTTCGAATTAGCAAAACGCTAATTCGAACTAGTTTTTAGTTCTAGACGCATTAGTTCGAATTAGCTTAGTTCGAATTGACGAATTCGAACTAAGTTAGTTCGAATTAGTGCTGTAGTGTAGACATACCCTTACACTTGTTAGAAAAGAGCGTAGCTCTTGCGCAAGAATCCCTGTCCGCCTACGCCCGTTCTTGCGCAAGAACCCGCCAGTGTAGACATAGCCCAAGTGTCAAGTTGGGGAATTGAGCTGAGATAGACACTGCATTTTTATTTTCTTACAACCTTCTAATTTCAGATTTTACTTACACTAAAATATGATTTAGATTATTTCATGTTTTCATTATGTTAAGTCTGCTTATTTTTTAAGCCTGATGTGAACTGAAATTCTTCAGCAGTTATAGTGACTATACCTACATGGTTAAATATATAATGTTTCTAGGGCTTAGAAAAGCAACTGAAGCTGAACAGTAGCATCTTTAGTCGTCAGTTGGCAGCTGAGAATAGAAAGACTGTAGCAGCTCGGACAATCACAAAGAGCTTGCAAATGGAAATTAAGTCTCTACAACAAAAAATTAAGGTACTCAATATTTAAAACAGGTTTACTTTTTATAAGCATGTCATATGTCTTACGTTATATGTTCCTAGTCTTCAATGAGGTAGGCATATTACTCTGTAACATTAAAAACAATGAGCACTCCTGAGGCACCTTAGAGACTAACAAAAATATATATAGTATCATGAGCTTTCATGGGCAAAAGCCACTTTTTCAGATGAGCTCATCTGAAAAAGTGGCTTTTGCCCATGAAAGCTCATGATACTAAGGGTTGTGTCTACACTACGCAGAAGATCGACACTGCTGCAGTCGATCTTCTGGGATTCAAATTAGTGGGTCTAGGGAATTAACACCAGTAGTTCTGATCCTCATGAGGATAAGGGAAGTCAAAGGGAGCACAGCGCCAAATTTCAACCTCCTACACAGCGCCAAATTTTAAAATATCATACTATTTTTACACATCCCTTAGCCCTTGTGGAATGAGGGTTACAGGGATGCTGAAATAGTGCACCCATTACTTCAAAAAATATTTCAAAATAACTGGCGCATTTAAAAGACGCGGGGTAGCTATTTTGGGATTCCTCTGGTATCCCAAAATAGCCCCACTGTCTAGATGTACCCAAAGTTTAATATTATTCTGGTTGTATTAACAGAACTGTTCTAGTTGGCCCTGGTAAAGTCTCAGCTGAAATTCTGTATCTAGTCTGAAGTGCAAAAATTTAAGAAAGATCTGGACAAATTGTAGAGAATACAGAGTAAAGCAATAAAAATTACAGAAGTTTTTAGAAGTCTGACCTGTGAGAAGATTTTAAAATTGGGCAAGTTTAATTCTGAGAAAAAAGACAATTGAGGGGGCACCTAATAATAGCCTTCAAATATGTAAAGGGCTGTAATAACGAGGATTGTGGTCAATTGTTCCCCATGGAAGGTAGGACAGGAAGTAATGAGCTTAATATGTATTGAGGGAGAATAAGGTAGATATTAAGAAAATCTTTTTTACTAAAAAGATAGCTAAGTTCTGGAGTAGGCATCCAAGGAATACTGTGGATTTCCTGTCATTGGAGGTTTTTAAGGACAGGTTAGACAAAAACCTGTCTGGGGATGATCTAAGAATAGTTGGTCCTGCGTCGTGTGAGGGGCTGAACTAGATGATCTCTCAATGTCTCTTTCAGCCTTATATTTTTATGATTCTATGAGCTTTTTGTTAGATCCTTTGCAAAAATATTGCCAGATTAGTGTTTACAGTTTGTTTTGACTAAACAAAACAATAGAAATGTTTCAATGATTTGATTTAAATTCTAACAAACAGTTTTGTTTTGACAAATTAAACATTCCCCTGCAGCGTTTGAAACCCAAACATCATAGCATTGTGTCAGTACGTGAAAACCTAAAAGTGACATGAAATAGAAATAAAAATGCAAAATGTGTTAGCTTACCATGAGAATAATGCAAAGGATAAACTGCATAGTGAAAAGTATAATCAAAAACTTTAAGCTTTATTGTGGTATTTAGAACATATCTATAACATATGTATTATAATTAACTTTGTGGCAATAGATAATCCACTCCTCTGGAAACCACACCCTTCTGAGGGTATGTCTACACTTGCACGCTAGTTCGAACTAGGGATGCAAATGCAGGCATTCAAAATAGTCAATGAAGCGGGGATTTCATTAGCATGATCTCGTGGGGACATTACTCCAAATGCCAGCTGTTTCGAAAGTGAAAGTGCGCGCCGGGACACATTAGTTCGAACCAAGGGGGTTGGTTCAAACTAGCATAACTCCTGAGTAACGTTAGTTCGAACCAAGGGGTTTGGTTCGAACTAATGCATCCCGGCACGCACTTTTACAATCGAAACGGCTGGCATTTGGAGTAATGCGCCAGCGAGATCATGCTAATGAAGCTCAGGATATTTAAATCCCCGTTTCATTGACTATTTCGAATGCCTGAATTTGCATCCCTAGTTCGAACATGTTTGACATGGCCTATGTTTGACGGTTTCTGCTTAAGAAAGGCTTTGGACTGGAATACAAGGAGTTTCAAATTTGAGTTAGGATCAAAGTACATTGGTACAGTAGTATGTTAAACCTTTTACAAGGTGTCTGCCTTCAGTATGTTTGTCTTAGGCTACCGCTATATGTTCTTTTTGTGAACATTATTACTTTTTTAGTAACATTTTTTTTAATGGGCCAAGGAGCTGGTAAAAAATAATCATTAAGTTTGATAATGTGGATTCTTTTTCAGGAAAAAGAACGAGAAGTTGGTATAAAAAATATCTATGCAAATCGGATGCTTAAAGGTCTACAGGACAAAACTGATATAGTACCTCGCAAAAAAGGTACTGTATATCTGCATTATTTTTTATATATATATATTTTAGTTTCATACTTGTATTGCTTTATAATTGGGACAAATTTTCTAAAATAGGAACCTAAATTGCAGTTGTAAATGTGCAAAATGGGTTCTTGCACATGCAGTTTCTTTGCGCATACAGATGCATCTAAGTAGCCCATTTTTTAATATTTAACCCAGTTTATGTAAATGCACTTTAGGATAGTATTAACCTTTATTAACATTTACATAGACTGTGCAGTATATGATACTGTGTTCATGAATGCTTACAAAAGTTTTGGAAAATAAAGTGTAATAAAAATGAGATGTAAGTATTTCCGCCTTAAGTAAATAATCTCATCATTACATGATTAGCATTCAAACAGGATTTCATATTTAGCATCACACATTTTGCATAGTATGTCTGCATATAGCTATGCCCTCTGATATCAGTGTAGTTAAGTTGGTCAGGATTTTATTTGTAAAATCTGTTAAGTTTGTAAATGTATAATGTTCCTGCCACAATTATTCTGGACTGAACTTTAGCATTTGATTAGTATAGCAGCAAATTTACCTTACCCATTTCTCAAAAATCAGATTGGCATCTTTAAAGTCAAACTGATACTATTTCTGACAGTGTGTTTGTAACTAAGATAACTCAAAAACTAAGATAAACATTTCTGTTCCAATCTTTACAAGTTCGTGATCATAAAATAAAAACATCAGAACGATCATACTGGGTCAAACCAAAGGTTCATCTAGCCCAGTGGTCTCCAATCTTTTTACACCCAAAATCACTTTTTAAATGACAGAACAAGCCAAGATCTACCGCCCCGTCCCTTCCTTGAAGCCCTGCCCCTTCCTTGAAGCCCCACCCTCTCTATTCTCCTCCTCTCCATCACTTGCTATCCCCAACCTTTATATTGCTGCTTTTTTTTCAATACTTCTGTAGGAAGAGTTTTTTCCAACATTTGGCCTGTCTAGACTGGATAAATGTCAGAAAAACCCCTTCTTTTGGAAGCCCTCTTATTCCTTGTGGAAAGAGGAATATAGCGGTGACTGAAAGAGCATGTTTGCTCTTCCACTAAAAAAAGCGGAAGAACAAATGCATCCCTGGATGCAGAAGAGTTTTTCTGAGATATCTCTGGAATCCTGAAAAATTCCTGCAGTCTAGTCGTAACCTCGCTGGGTTGAGACAGGATGTGTAGGTTCTGGGGTGGGAATGAGGAATTTGGGTGTGGGAAGGGGTGAGAGGTGAAAGCTCTGGGAGGAAATCTAGATGCAGGAGGAGGTGGAGAAGGGGATGCTGGTTCGGGGAGGGGGCTCCAGGCTGGGCAGTGTTGGGGTTAGATGTAGGGTTGAGGTACTAAGCAAGCCACAGGCTTGTGGATATGAGGGGTCAGGAATTTGGGGTGGGGGAGGTTGTATGATAGGCTCAGTTCTAGGGTCTGGGGGAAGAGGGAGTGCAGGAGTGTTCTGATGCTGTGGCCAGATGGAGGCTTGGCCCCAATTGGGGGTTTGTTGGCCAGGCTTCATTTTTATATGAAATACTATGCCAAACACAAAAAGTTTCTGCATTGTCTTTATTGTCTTTATTTCTGAGAAGGGCAGCGAACCTGTTTTGAGTCAGGGGACACTGACCCACAGAAGTCAGTTGAGATGCAAAACAAAAAAACCTCCTCCAAACCCGCCCCCCAAGTCTCACTAATGTGGCCCCAACTGTGCTGGTGGGAGCAGGGGACATGGTACTGGGGAAGGGTGCTAGTGGGTGCTGGGGTAGGGGACAGGGTGCCAGTGGGGGCAGGGTTCTGCGGCTGGGGGCAGGGGAGAGGGAACAGAGTGCCAGGAGGGCAGGGGACAGGGTTCTGTGGCAGGGGGCAGAGTCCCTGCACCAGCCTCCTCCCAGGATTCCCCCTAATCTCCCCCGCAGAGGAGGGAAGCCCTGTCACATACCTCCTCCAGGCCCGACTTCTCCCCTTCTGAGAAGCTGGGAAGCCTCCACACGTGCCCCCTTGGGGCCAACCCCCCCCCCACGGAGAAAAGAAGCCCCGTCGCGCGCCTCTCCCCAGGACTCCTCCCCCATCCGCCACAGAGGAGGGAAGCCCCAGCGCACGCGCCTCCCACCGGGACTCCTCCCCCATCCGCCACAGAGGAGGGAAGCCCCAGCGCACGCGCCTCCCACCGGGACTCCTCCCCCATCCCCCGCAGAGGAGGGAAGCTCCGGCGCGAACCTCCTCTGGGGACTCCTAACCCCTCTCCCCCCCACCAGGAGGGAAGCCCCAGCGCACGCGCCTCCCACCGGGACTCCTCCCCCATCCGCCACAGAGGAGGGAAGCCCCAGCGCGTGCCTCCCACCAGGACTCCTCCCCTCCTTCCCCTGCAGAGGAGGAAAGCCCTAGTGCACGTCTTCCCCTGGGACTCCTACCTCCTCCCCCCATGCAGAAAGTCTCCAACGCGCCACAGGCTTGAAGGAGGGGAGCAGGTAGCGCACTTCCAGAAACCCCAGAAGTGGTGCGCAGCTGCCGGACTTCTGTCCACCCCGCGGGAAGCCGGCACTACCTCCATTGTCGCTGGAGGTAGGTAGTGGGGCTTCTTGGGGGTGGGGAAATTGGGGGAGGCCCGAATACCTCCCGATCGACTGGTCGAGCCCTCCCGATCAACCAGTCAATCATGATCGACGGGCTGGTAATCATGAATCTAGCCCAATATCCAGTCTCCCTCCCTCTGGGGTATCTGATAATAGCCACTGTTGGCAACACAATAGGTAATCCTCACATGATCCCTCTCCTTTCACCCATTTACAGACAAACAGAGGCTAGGGACAACATTCCTACCCATGATGTCTAATAGCCATTGATGGACCTAACCTCCATTAATCTTTATAGCTCTTTTGAATCCAGTTAAAGTCCTAGTCTTCACCACATCCTCTGGCAAGGAGTTCCATAGGTTGACTGTGCGCTGACTGAAGAAAAACTTTGTTTTGTTTTGAACCTGGTGACTGTTAATTTCATTTGGTGACCCCTAGTTCTTATATTGTGGGAATAGGTAAATAACTTTTCCTTGTTCACTTTTTCCACAGCAGTCATGATTTTAGAGACCTCTATCATATCCCCCCTGTCTCCTCTTCTCTAAGCTGAAAAGTCCAAGTCTTTTTGATCTCTCGTCAGATGGGACCCATTTCAAACCCCTAATAATTTTTGTTGCCCTTTTCTGAACCTTTTCCATGCCAATATTTTTTTTGAGATGAGACAACCACATCTGTATACAGTATTCAAGATGTGGGCGTACCATGGTTTTATATAGAGGCAATAAGATATTCTCTGTCTTATTTTCTATCCCTTTTTAATGATTCCTAATGTTCTATTTGCTTTTTTAACTGCTGCTGCACATTGAGTGGATGTTTTCAGAGAACTATCCACAATGACGCCAAGATTTCTCTCTTGAGTAGTTGTAGCTAAATTAGTCCCCATCATATTGTATATATAGTTGGGATTCTTTTTTTCCAATGTGCATTACTTTACATTTATTAACATTTTGTTTCCCAATCTTTTGGTTTTGTGAGATCTTTTTGAAGCTCTTCACGGTCTCTTTGGTCTTAAATATCTTGAGCAGTTTGGTATCATCTGCAAAATTTGCCACTTCGCTGTTTACCCCTTTTTCTAGATCATTTATAAATAAGTTGAATAGGATTGGTCCCAGGAACCCCAGTAGTTACCTCTCTTCACTTTGAAAACTTACTATTTATTCCTACCCTTTGTTTCCTGTCTTTTAACTAGTTATCAAATCAATGAAAGTATCTTCCCTATTATCCCATGATAACATACTGTACTTCTTAAGAGTCTTTTGTGAGAGATCTTGTCAAAGGCTTTCTGGAAATCTAAGTATACTATATCTACTGGACACCCTCCTCCCCCTTGTCCACATGTTTGTTGAGAAAGAACTCTAGTAGATTAGTAAGGCATGATTTCCCTTAACAGAAACTATGATGACATTACCCTAACAAATGATGTTCATCTATGTGTCTGACAATTTCATTCTTTACTATCGTTTCAAATAATTTGCCCGGTACTGACATTAGACTTACTGGTCTGTTATTGACAGTATCAGCTCTAAAGCCCTTTTTAAATATTGGCGTCACATTAGTTATCTTCCAATCATTAGGTACGGAAACTGATTTAAAGGATAAGTTACAAACCACAGTTAATAGTTTCGCAGTTTCACATTTGAATTCTTTCAGAATTCTTGGGTGAATGCCCTCTGGTCCTCAGTGACTTGTTACTGTTAAGTTTACCAATTTGTTCCAAACTTTCCTCTAATGACACCTCAATCTGGGGCAAGTCCTCAGATTTGTCACCTAAAAGAATGGCTCAGGTCTGGGAATTTTCCTAATATCCTCAGCCATGAAGACTGAAGCAAATAATTCATTTAGTTTCTCTACAATGACTTTATCATCTTTAGTGCAACTTTAGCATCTTGTTCGTCTAGGGGCCGCACTGGTTATTTAGTTGGCTTCCTGCTTCTGATGTACTTAAAAACATTTTGTTATTACTTTTTGAGTTTTTGGCTAGCTGTTCTTCAAATTCCTTTTTGGCTTTTTTAAATTATATTTTTACACTTAATTTGACAAAGTTTATGCTCCTTTCTATTTTCCTCACTAGGATTTGACTTCCACTTTTTAAAAGTTATCTTTTTATCTGTGTCTGCTTCTTTTACTTGGTTGTTAAGCTAACTTTTTTGGATTTGTTACTGTGTTTTTTAATTTGGGACCTGTATTTGGGGGGAGAGATAGCTCAGTGGTTTGAGTATTGACCTCCCAAGGTCAGGGTTGAGTTCAATTCTTGCAGGGCCCTTTAGGGATCTGGGGCAAATCTGTCAGGGATGGTACTTGGTCCTGTCATGAGGACAGGAGACTGGAGTCAATGATCTCTCAAGGTCCCTTCCAACTCTATTAGATAGGTATATTGCCATTTATTTAAGATAGGCCTCTATTTTGATGTCTTTGAAAAG